GCAGGAAACTATCCATTCTGATTTTTAAAAGCCTGAATTAAAAATAAATTACTTGATACAAATGAAAAGGTTTATAACCTGCAATCTCCTATACCCAAAGCATTGCTTTTTACCCGGAATGAACACAACACATATGATATATAGTGCTTTCTCTTAAACCTCTGTTCTAAAAATTTAAGGACCACACAGCAGTGCCTCCCACTCGTGAAGTGAGACCGAGAAGGGGGCAGACCCATCCTTTTGTTCGTATCTGTCCCCATCAGATCTTCCTGTCAGCTTGGCAGGGCTTTGCTCCTCTCTGTAGTACATTCTCCAGAGCTTTGCTTTGTTTAGTTTAAATGATTCATGCAGCAGAGCTTACAGGTTTTCCTTGGAGAGGCTTTTCCAGCCCTTATAGACCTCACAGTCAGAGAGGTTTCCTAATATTCAGGCAATATCCTCCTCTGCTCACTTTCATTTTATTCCTCCTCATTTGTCCCACAGACCATTTGAAAAAAATCCTTCCCTTCTTAGTGGAGCAGCCCTCCCATGGGAGAAAAAGGAGAAAAAAGAATCCATTTTAAATGGAGCTGGATGGGTTGTAAATGGGATTAGAGGTCATGGTTACTTGAGGTAGCTGAGGTCTGGGCCAGACATTTCAGGAGAGGCACTCCAATCCTATTACCTATGACACTGCTGCTACTGGGCTCAAGTAGTGGGAACAGCCGTTGTTCCCTAGTTTGGGGAATTGAAAAAGGAGATCGGCTGGATTCTGAGCAATTAAAAGGGAAATGCTCCAAAAAAGAGACTCCCTTCCCTTTCCTCCTGTCCTCTTCCTCGGACCAAGAGTCAGCAAGCTCAGGACTACAGTGGTCCGTGACACTGACACCAGTGAAGGTGTTGCAGTCCTGCTAAGCATCTCAGTGCTTTTAAAACTCTCAGAAAAGGAGCAAGAGCTTTAAACAGCCAGAGTTGTTGAGGGGAGCACCTCTCCCTGCCCCCTCCCTGAGCCATCATTCTCTAGCTGGCAAGGACGTGTCCTCAAGGCACTGCACAGTATGAAGTGGGGCTGAGATCCCCCTCTTCCTTTCTGACCTCAGGAGACCCCTCTACCTCCCCCCAGGAGCCCTTGCTGGCCCCACACTTGCCACTTGGCCTGGCACGTTGCCGGCAGAGGGACAGTGCTGCCCACCAGCACTGGGGCAGCGCTGCTCAGTAGGGAGCGAGGTTTTGGCGCTGGGGAAGACACCAGTGGGATGAGGATGGAGACATGCAACGTGTGTGGTCCTGATGGGAGCTACAGCAGTGGGGTCACTGCTACTAGGCCAGCATACAGGTATTGCTTATGTTTCAAATTATGATACTCATGTTGTATCATCATGTCTGTACCACGGCAGGTCAGGGAGACGAAGGGTTGTGCACTGATGCAAACACAAGGGACAGAGGGCAATTTTTGTACTCACATCATAGGTGGGAGTAGCCGGTGCTGGGCTGGCCGAAGGGGGCTGAGTTTCCACCTTGTGTCTCAGGGTATTTAGGAGCTGGTTCCTTCCAGGACACACCACCTACTCGGGACAAGACATCGAATGGCAGACTTAGAGAAAATCACCATCTCCCCAAAGGTGAAATGAACATCAGCGTGATGTGAGACCCAGCCACTCACACCGCCTCCAAGCACTTCCGCAGCAAAGAATATCAGCGCCCTCTGACAGAGCAGGCTGGTCCCTTTCCTCACCATCGGGTGAAATGGAGGAGTCAGATGACTGCCACTGGAACAACCAAAAGGAGAACTGGGCTTTATAGGGGTAGAAATCAGTCCCAGCACTGCAGCTTAACTGGATAGAGGGGATAAGTATTTAACAGCACACAACAATGCTGTCAGACGGGGAGTAAAGCAGGGCCCTGTTCAGAGCACAAGGGGAATTGCACAGAGGCAGAACGCAGTGACTTTTGTCAGGAGTTTCTAGGAAGCTGTTGCTAATGCCCTGAGTCTCAAGAAGAGCACGAAGCAAGCATTAATGGCAGCATACAGTCCGTGGTACCCTAGCATGCAAGTCCAGCATGGAGCTGAAGGAAGAAGGTCTTTTCCTTGGCAACGTTTCTTGCATCGGATGAGTTCTCCCTGAATATGCTCCGTTCACACCCAGATAAGAGTGAGCCCTGCTCAGCGAGCAGGAGAACAGGCAGAAAAGGCAGAAGGCTGTACTAAGTATCTCTGTTCTAATTCAGAAAGAAGTGGGATGATTATATTCACATCACATGAAAACGACGAACTGCTTTCCAGTCCATTAGTAACTAAGGAGGATGCTCAATAACTTCTCTTAAAGATAAAAATTTTTACATCAGCAGGCCTGAGCAAGCTATGGTGAGAAATATGTGCTCTGTTCTGCAGGAGGGCAAATGTAATGGCTGCATGAACTCTCCAGGCCCCTAGGAGAGCCCGTAGGTCTGAGACTTGCTGGTGCACCTCAAAACCTAGAGATGTCAATCGGCAAGTCGTGACGGTGCCTCCCTCCTCATCCCCATGGAGACGCTCTCTAGGCAAGCAGATGGGGGCCTGTTTCCAACCTAGTCACTCTGCTGCTTACGCTCCTTCCCCCTCCATCTATCCGCCTGCAAGGTAAGTCTCGCAAGATTAGCAAGGCTGCCGACTTCTGCCATTTTGTTTTCAATCTCACGATGTTTGACTGTGTGCGCTAAAGCCTGCTGCTCCTGGAGTCATGGGATTGTACCACAAACATGGCCTCCACATAAAAATACAAGCAGAGAGTTGGTGTTGTGGTGGCAGAGAGCAGCTTGAAAGAGTAATTAGTGGGGATACAACACCTAGAAAACAAGAATCCCCAAGTTCAGTTCTAAGAGACATCAGCCAGTCTTGAGATCTTTGTAAGAGTGCAGAGGATACTGTTTTGAATGCTCGAGGGTGGCAGTACTAGAAGCAATAGGTTTTGCCCAGACAACAGGGATTTCAGTGTCACAACTTCTAAGTTCTTTCCACAGGACCCTGTCTCATTCAAACCTTTCAGCCCTACCTTTGTCCCTTCTCTCCCTGCTCTCCACATCCTCTCGTCCCCACCTCCAGTTTCCTCTCAGCTCTTCATCCTAGCCTCCACTTCCTTACTCAGCTGGTCCCAGCCTGTGCGACTGGTCTGCTCAGTTGAGAGTCCTTGTCCTTCCAGTCTTAACACCCTTGTCCAGGCTCTAGTACTTCCTCGCTCAGGCTCCCAGTCCGTTTCCCTCCCAAGGCTCCTCTTTCCAGAGGAACTGATCAGGTTGAAAGCATCTCTGGGGATCATCTACTCCAACACTCCTGCTCAAGGCAGAGTCAACTGGAGCAGGTTCCTCCTCAGGCCCTTGTCTCACTCTTATTTTCCAGTTAGTTGGGGTGTCCATACAGGCTGCCCAGGGATCCTTTTCTCAACCTTCCCCTCTCACTCTGTCTCTTAATGTTTCCTCTGGCAAACATATGCCCGAGGGCCTAGTTCCCCATCTCCTCCACCTTGCAGACTGGCTTCTTTTATGGTACCTGAGCTATGGCTCAGAAAGGTGCAGCACAGTCTCCTTGCAATCAGGTTGTGACTCTGACACTAGAGTAGCCCCCATCTTGAAGGAGGATTAGATACAGCAAAAGTCCTGCCCTATCCCTGCTAGAAGGGCTGCAACAGACTTGGATACGTGGGAGGGCAGGACATTGCCTGTTAGACTGGCAGTGTGTGGAAATGCAGCCTCACATGGGCTCTTTCAGAGAACTGAGCTGCTCCGTTGACAAGAGCCATTACCAAGTACATACAAACTGCAGTTTTCCAAAGGCCCATCACATGGCTACATCTGCTTGAATATTCTCAAGGCCAGCACATAGCTATTGTGACTTCTTGTCCTGTTTCAAATCCTTGCTCTAAAGCAGAGCCTGCCAGAGTCAAAATGCTTACCAGAATTTTTTAATGGACAAACCAATGTCCTGTTTTGTCTTTTATGTAATCTTTTTTTCTCAGAAAGATTTAACTTTAAAAAAGAAAATAAACATGAGGCAGACACCCAGCATGGAAAACTTCAGCATGGGGAGTTCCAATTTGGCCAAGTTAGAAGCAAGTGAAATAAATTCCTAGATTAGATCACGTCAGGTATTGCTTTTATTTGGTAGTAACTTGCCTTTCTTTTCCACAGTAGCAGAGCTGTTCCAGTGATGCTCAATGCAGCAAGGAGAGTGGTAAGAGTAATGAGGATTTCCCACCTGTAAGAGGTCTGTATGTACCCTGTATCTGTGTGAAAGAAGGCAAAAGATTCACAGCATAAGTGGAAGTTAGCTGCATTTCTAACCCCAGCCAAAAGCCATGAGAGAGCTAAAATACAGAAGCAGTGAAGAGGAGGTGACCATCGATGCACACGTTTCAAAACATAAAAACATAGTCTGACTGAACTGGAGAGTGGAGCGCAGATGGAGAATCAAACAAAGGAGATGGGATTTTAGCAGCTGCACTTTGTGTACTTTAAAGGGAGGTGACATGAATATGAGAGTCAAAAAAGGTGGTAGTGAGAGGCTGGCAAAGGTCTTTAGTGATAGGGGCAGAAGGATAGATGGTGGAGAGCACACAGGCTGCACAATCTAGCAGGGTGGGGACTGCCAGCATCCTCTGACCAGCGTGGCAAAGCTCTTTGGTCACAGCTCTTCACATTTACTCTTTCTAAGAAGTGTTCCATATCCAGCATTCAGTAATGCAAATCCAGCCAGTCAACAGCATGCATGCCCTCATCACTTTTGTTATAATATTCCTCCATCTTGGCCTGAAGCTCTCCCTTGCCTTTCCAGGCCAGTCATCAGCTGAACAGCTGACCCCTTGTACCACATGGAAAAGGCGGAGGGATTACGCTGAGCCTTCTACCCTAACCACTGAACTTTTTTCAACCATCTCTGTCATGCTAATAAAGACCAGACCACAGTGTGTCCTGGACATTGACTTTAAAAGCACCCTATGACCCAGGGCCCCTGGTTAGACCCTGATTTTTAGTCTGGTGTTCCCAACAGTCTGTGGCAGGGCAGATATAAATCACTGCATCTTCATGTCCCCATCTGTAAAGTGGGAATAGTGGCACAGGTACCCTGTGTAAAGCGCTTTGAGGTCTGATTACATTGAGTATCAGGCACTATTATTATTCCCACCTGTCTTCATAGCTTCTTTGGGTAGAGGAAAAGAAGAGCAAAGATCATCTTTTCATAGCAAGATACAGCTGAATTTTAACCATTTTGTTTTTTCACTTACCTCTAGCAAGGACAAATACTCCTCTTCCCATTTTCACGATGTCATTCCATTTGACCTCACAGTAATACGTGCCAGTAAAAGAGGTGCTTTCAAGTGGCTTCAGTTTGAGATTGTAAGATTGGGTAGTGGTCCGATTCTCTTCTCCGGGAGGGATGTGTATCTCCATTGACTTACTACTGATGAATGTTTTCTTGCCCACTGGGTTAATCCAGTAATAGAAGATTGAAAATTTGGTGTATTTCATCATGTATGGGAAGGTGACCTTGCAGGGGATAGATACTTCTTCCTTGAGTAGTGCAACCTGGATTGGAGGTCTCTGCTGTACATTGACTTGTCCCTCTGTAAGGGTGATAATTGTTAGCAGCCACCTAACATTACCACAAGTCAGAGAAAATTTTTGCTGCCCCAAAGTTTCAATCAGCAATCACATGGTAAAAATAAGCATATGCTCAGGAACCTGCACCCACTCTGTAGCATGCAGCATTGGCCCTCGTCAGAGAATGAATGATGCAGAGCATGTGTCCTGTGTGATCTGTCACATCTCTTAGGTAATCGCTGTGTGATCTGAGATACTCTGTTGCAATCACAGGCTTCCCCTTTTCCCTTGTGAGCGCCTCTGTACAATGCCAGCATGCAGAAAGACAAGAAAGGAAGCAGGAAGTGGACAGATTTGCAGTGTGTGAGACTACATTTGCAGCTGATGAAATGGAAAGTGATTTTCCAAGACAAACACTAGCTGGACAATTTCTGTAACACAGTCCACTGCTTGGGTGTGTATGCGTGCATATACGGTCACTTTGAACCACTGAAGGTGTTGTATGCAAGTGTGAGTATTTCTGTGCATTTCTGAAGCATAAGCAAGGAAGGAAATTGCATATTTCGCATGGGGGCCAGCACCGGGGCCATGAGAAATAGGATGCAGTTTAATCACGCCAAATTTTTGCTGCTGTAAATGGACAGCAAACTGCAAGACTTCATACTACATTATAGGAACTATCTGCAGAGGGCTGCAGATCTTAAGTACCTATATGTGACAGTACCTCAGGCACTCAGAGGTGGGAGAGTAAGTATGTCCTCCGTGTGCTTCTTGCTTACATAGTTCTCCTGAAAGTGATCTATCACTGCAATCCAGCAGACAGTGATGTAGGGAGTTACAAGAGAGGATGAAGAAGCTCAGAAGGGAACCACTCCGTAATTCACTCCCTATTTTGTTTACTAAAAGGAAAAAACAGCTAAGAGTGTGTCACTGGCTAGAAAGGAGCCTGAGGTACAAGACCTCTTTGGTGTCTCAGCCAAATCTGGGTTTAACACTAGTCAATCTTTGGATCTATTTATTTAGCAGGTGACATAACACCATATACAAAGCCACTGAAGAGGAGGCCTGTCCAAAGCACCACTGTCTTTAAAAAAAGGTAACAGGAAACTTAGGGACAAGCCTTGTTACAAAACGAAGGATTTATGATTCTTTCAGAGAGTATGAGAATGAAAGACTAAAAAAAGAGAAAGAGAGAAAGTAGGGGATGGGCAGGTATCTCCATTCATGGTTTTGGTGGGATTCTCTGGGGTTCTGCATCTAGGAACAGGCTCCTAATAAGGCATTAAAGCTGTCCCAGAGCACAGCCAGCCTTTCCTGTCATCATGCCTTAACACTGCATCGCCAAAGCAGCATCACCACTGCCCAGGGTGACTTGGCATCAGGAGTGGCAGCTCTTGACTCACAGCTGGTGAACGCAAAAAAACAAGGGGTCTCGTGAGGTGGAATAACAGAGAGAGGGCACGGTCACTGTCCAGAAGGGACTTCAGAGAAGTAACATCAGTTAAGCAAAATCCTCTGCAGATGACATAACCAGGGATAGTAGCCTGAGAGTAAGGAATCGTTTAGGTTATATCATTAGGAAAAGGTTCTTCCCTAGAAAAGCAACAGAGATACGCTACAGTCCTAAGGGACATGCTCATTCATTGTGAGCGCAGAGTGTAAACTAGATATGATATTATGAAAAGAAGGTAACAGAAAGTCCTGCGGACACTGTGAGCGTGATAATCTGAGCGGCCTCTTCTGGGCCTTATTTTCTAAGATATGATCATTCATCCTCCTCTTTCTCATCTCCATCCAGCAGCACATACATGAATATAGCTTTTTTACAAGACATTGCAAAGCACTGCAGTAACAAAGCAGGGGAAGAGATCTATATTCTTACAGTATCCCAGGAGCTTGAGAAGAAGATGCCAGGGAAAAAGCCAAACCACTTTACTTAGGTTATATAACCCTTCTCCCATGTTCCTCTTTTCTGAGGAGTCTCTCTATGAGCTTTGAAATACTTAAAAGACAGAAATAGCAGCAGTGTGCAAATTCCTAGAGGGGATCTCTGGAAATTAGCAAAAGATAGCAGCTGGAAATGCTCTAATATGAACAAATGTGAGAGTAAACAAAAGGAATAAAAAACACTTTTTTACCTCCATACTGAAGCGACCAAAGAAACAGGAAGATGACTTTTACATTAGAGGCCATGATAGGGTCAAAGGCTGTAAGAAAACGACCAGATATGAAGATCCACAAGGCAAAAGAGACTGGGTTTTGTCAGGTATTTCCGCAACTGAGAAGCTGTTTGATCCCCTCCTGTTTGCAAAGGGACAGGCAGAATGGACACACACTGCTTTTGGCAAGCTGTTCCTGGCAGATGCAGGCTCTTCTGCTTTTCTGTTAGACTCCTCCCTGCACTGTGGTTCATTTCTCTGTACTATTATGATGGTGTTACACCTACCAGCGGGTGTCCAGGGATTAGACTGTAAGCTCTTTAACGCACAGAGCTTTGTCTTCCAGTAACGGTAAAATATCACACACATTTAAAGCAAACTTTGTCGCCTTCCATAGTGACTGCAAAGCCCCAAGTTGGCACATGAGGAAAAAAAAAAAAAGTGCTTTGATTGATGCAGTTTGTTCCTGAGGCCATTTGAGGTGAACATGGTCAAACTCAGTGAACGAGCCCACTGACTCTGGAGCAATGGACAAGCTTAAAAATGGCACGTTTAGCTTGTTACTGTAATTGTGCCCAGATTTGTTTTTATAGCTGTTATGGGACAGCTATTCTTGATTATGTCATTGCCTGGACCAACTAAATTTTGGAATAAGAACACCTTACTTCAGACTACCTTAATCAAGTGGTTTGTTTACATGAGGAAGCTACTGAGCAGTACCCCAGGGTGTGGGTTCATGGCAGAGCAGCACAATCAAACTCACTCTTTACATGAATACTCAAGGGTAGGATCACCTGTTTGGCCTCCAAAACGGAGAACAACTACCTGCACCAGCAGTCAGTACAGAAAAACGGCTCTTCTGTACTTCTTACAGCACAAAACTTCCCCCCACAGCCAACTCCTCGACTAGGTCACTTCAGAGGAAGGTGCTCATATTCCAGAACTGAGAACATCCAGACAGTGAATTCATCCTAACAGCTGTGATGTTTTAAAGTCACACGACG